AAAGTGACAAGAGTGCTGCTTTGGACCTATTGAGAAAAACCTATCTGACTCTTTTATTGAGACTGAACCTCCACTTTTATCCTTTTTGAAGTTCTCTAAAGGAAGTTCCACAATTTTTTTTTTAAAAGATTTATTTATTTATTCATACAAGCACTGGGTACAGTCAGAAGCATGGGAGGGTGAGAGAATTCACCAGAGCCAGAGCTGGGAGCAGAGTAGGCAGAAAGACCAAAGTACACTGCTGAGGGGAGCAGCGGGTGGCAGGAGAGGTCTGCGCACCATGTGGGACCCTCCTCTGGTGGCCGGGGAGCAGCCGGGAATCGAACCAGTGCTGCAGAGGCTGCGGGCAGCTTCGCAACCCAGCGCTCAACCGCTGCGCCACCGGGGAGGCCCAGGAAGTTCCACAATTTTAAAAGTAGATGAAAGAAAAAAATAAATAAAAATAGATGAAAGATCAATCCTATCTTGAGAAGAAAGCAATCTAATTAGTTATATTCAATTGCTGGAGACAGTCCTTAGGTGGCTGCAAACAATAGTAAGAGTCATTTCTATAGAAATAATAGAAAAATAAAAATGAAAAATTGAAGCAGAATACAAATCCATTTTCCATAACCATTTGTAAAAAGGAAACAAACAAATCCATTCAGTTGGGAATCCAGGGAAGGTTTCTAGTTTCAGTGTCAAAGCATCTTCAGATGGGGTGAGGACAGACAGTGGTTTCCCTGCTCGCAGTTTGATGTCATTGGGCATTTAGGAAAACAGCAACAATCAGAAGAAATGTACATCTTGATAACCTCTCTGAAGTTGACAAATTTCCCCACTTTCAGATTGAGCAGTCTCAGAAAAAGACAACCTTAGTTTGCAATCAATCCAAGCCAAAAAGGTTAGGAAACATTAGTTTAGAAAGTCATAGAAATTAGAAAAATTCAGGGTTGAGTCTGGTTCATGGGTAAAAGCAGAAAAGTAGAAAATGATTAAAAGGATTTAGAATCTGATGTGCATAAAAAGGTATATAATAGTGAAACATCTTTTTCTCCACTTCTACTCCAATTTTACTAAATAATCACAGCAAAATGAATTATTTGCAAATTAAATCTAGTTTCATTAAACTTGACCAGTTATTTTCATAAGCATAATAAGAACAAAATAAAACCATATCCTTTAAAAAATATGCTTTGCTGGAACTTTTTACGAGAAATCTCAGATGAAGTTTTTAATGGCCTCTCAAGTCTAAGGACTATGCTAAGACTGCCTCATCAGACTTTGCCTGTGATACTTATATCTTTGGGTAAATTCCTCTTCTTTTGAGGTCTCCAAAAATATCCTTGTCTCCTGGAGTTCCCAGATCTGATAAAGGGTGACTTTCTTTACTCTTTTCCTGATAGACTTGGAACCCTGAAAGCAAGGCATTTAGGCTGCTTTTCCTTTGAAAACTCAGATCTATCTGAATTCCTAAAAACAGTCTGGTCTCAAATATGACATTACAATCAAGGTTTCAGCAATAACCATGGTAATTGTCTATTATAGTGAAAAGGAGTCTTCTTAAATTTATGAAAAGAAACATATTACCATGAGAATTAAGAATACTTTACATTCTGGGGGTGTCAAAGAGAAAAAAGCAAATGTTTCAGCTTTGTTCACAAACATGATAAACAGGTGAAGATCTTATTTTTAAAAATTTCCTCCATGTTTAATGTAAAACAATTGAGAAAGCCAAGTTTATATCTTCACCTAGCTAAATTTAATATCTGAGAAGAGGTATCCCCATTCCTTAATGAATCAGGGCGAGGGAACTGGCTTTGATTTAAAAGCATGACTTTTTCTATTTTTTCTCCTTCTTATCTTTAACCAGTTAAATTCTGAGAAAGGGTGGTCTTTTAAACTTGAGATACTTGTTCTGCAAAGGGGGAAAAAAAACCAAAACCTTGTTTTAGCCAGAAAAAATTCAGTCTTTGAATGCCACTTTCAAATGTCAATGTCCAAAATGTAATCACAGGATTATTATAAAAATGAATCCTTTCTAATCTTACGATTTCTCATATGAAGAACAAAAAGGACAAAAGGACAAACAGCAGAACAAGAAATGGGGATAGATCGAGATATTTTACATTCTGCTGTTCATCGCCCTAGAATAGTTCTTCCAAGAACTTCTTTTTCTTTAAAACCTATGGTTTTGAAAATAGAAAGGTCAAAAGTGCTCCTTAGTGGCTACTGAAATCTTAGAGGCTTTTTAAAAAATATATTATTGGCCTTAGTATGACTAGAATTTGCAGAAAGCCACACCAAGATACTTCTCTACATTTCTCTCCTTATGTTGCCCTATTCTTAGTAATTCATTTTTTTTCCAATAAGAAATTTAGACTAAGATCTCTCTATTTTTTTCCATAGGCACCAATAAGCAGTTCAGAAGTTTTCCAATTTAATATGACTCAGCAAACCAATAAGCACTTTTGTAGCTTACTACAGAAAATCCAAAGTAGTTTGCTCCCAGTCTAAGATACAACAAAAGGAAAGACTCAATATACATTAAATGTTTTCTGCTAAGCCTTGTATCTCCTGAAGCCAGGACTATAACCAAGTAGGGCTGTATTGCAGGATTTGGAGTATGTTTTGTTTGACAGTGTACCTCTCAAGATGCATAGAACATTTATTATGATTGATGGGTGCTATAGCTACCCCAGTTGGGAGACTTCTTTATGAAGCGGCAAGTGCTCTATTAGCTTATAAGTTCTTGACCCACACCCACCAAAGTTTGCAAGATTGGTTTCCAAGATTTCCTGAGCAACACAAAGTGTTGTCTGGAGGCTCCGGTTCCTTTCCTCAAGACTCGGGAACTATGGGCAGAGGAATGGCAAAAGCCTTGAACTCTAATTTCCTACCCATGTAACAAAACAGAACGGCATATCAAGGCAGAAAGGATCATACCTCAAATTGGACAACACATCATAAAACAACACATACCATGTAATACTGTTAGTTGCAATAAGTCTGGGTTCTCCTGTCTGTCACTATCAAAAAGCCAATCAGCAGAGATAGGAATTGAACCTATAAGCAGTTTCATTTTTCAGATCACTGGCCATTGATCTGAGAGAATGGAGGTCTTCGCACCCTGAAGAGACCATTCTCCCATGGCCACTGATTGGAGAGAATGGACAGGCCATTCTACCATCTCATCTTGAGCTGGCCTTTTCATAATGAGTTAAACAAAAACAGTCATAAGCAAAACAGCAGAGCAGAACAGCCTGTCATGTTGAAGCAATTTATCAGAGAAGTCCATCATAGTTTGTGTTCTTGGTATTTGTCACATTCAGCCCCCAGGGTTTGTTATCAGATTCTTGGTTATCTTGACTCTTTGGTACATCTAATGGTGTCAATGCCTGGCACTCATTCAGGCATCATCAGGACAGGACTGTCAATTTTAAAGCAAGAGTGTTTAAGAACAAAAGTTCTTAAAATAATCAGAGTTGCCCATGAGTTAGCTGAACCAATATCCAAATCTCATTTTCCAAAAAGGTTTAGGACAGAGAATTCCTACATTATTCAACTTAGACCAAGCAACAAGGTTTGAAAACAGCTTAAGAGATAATTAGGTAAAACAGAAAAATCACCTTGTTGTGCTAAGTAACCAATATTAAAGGACAACAGCAGAGAGGGGGGATGCACCTCTGGGAGGGACACTGAGCACTCAGAGACTTTGTTACCTCTGGGACAAGTAGCTTCTGGCCCTGCACAATACAACAGAATTCTCATGTTCCTCTGTGGGACTCTGCCAGCCACAGCCTGGTCAAGTATTGAGTAAGGGAGTAGTCCAACATAGCCAGAAGCCACACAACCACTCATGTTACCTTGCCAGCAGCTCATTCAGATAAGTGTTCACTGGTCCCAGCAGCCTGGACACCCACCTGGACAACACATACCCAGCAGAGCAAATCCAAAAACAAACAATGGGGTGAAAGAAAAATACAAATGGTCAAGCAAGCCCTTGAGAGACCAATATGCTACAGAAAGAAAATCATTCTCCAGAACCCAACAACATTGACAGAGAAGAATTTTTCTGCTGGACAGATGAAGAATTCAAAGTTGCCAATAAACTTAAAGACATAAGAGAAAATGAAGAGTAGTAAAAGAATATTGTGAGAAACAATCAGTGAACAGGAGAACAAGATTGAAACTTTAAGTAAGAAAATAATGGAACTGCAGGATGTTAAAAGATCAATGGAGGAGCTGAAAAATTCTGGAAAAAGCCATGAAAATAGATAGATGATATGGAAGAATGAATCAGTACTGTTGAAGATACAGAAACATAAAGAATCCAAAAAGAAAATATGAATATGAAGGAAAGAGAATGAAGAAACACTTCAAGAATTATTTGACACAATGAGGAAAGGAAACATAAGAGTCATAGGAATCCCAGAAGGAGAGGAAACAAAGGAACTGAAAAACTATTCAAGGAAATAATTGAAAAGAACTTCTCAAACTAAAAGAAGGAAATGAAAAAGACATATAGGAAGCTAGAAGGATGCTAAACTACCATAATGAAAGGAAAACTACAGCAATACACAAAATAGTAAAACTTCCAAGGGTCCAAGGCAAAGAAAAAATAATGAAGCTGATGAAACAGATTACCTACAAAGGAAAACCGATTAGGCAGACATCAGATTTCTCTGAAGAAATACATTGGGCAAAAAGAGAATAAAATAACACTCAAAAAACTCCTAGACAAAAAAAGCTAGCCCAGAACACAATACCTTGCAAAGTTCTCCTTTCTTTATGAGGAAAAAATAAGGACTTTCTCAGACAAACAAAATCTTCAGAAATTCACTATTACTAAACTTCCACTCCAAGAAACATTACAAGCCTTAAAATCCAAACCAACAGAGGAATTAACAGGGAGACCTGAACAAGGTATTGATTAGAAGCACAAAAACAATGAACAAAATGGCAATTCCAGACTTCCATGTAATCAGTAATAACCCCAAATGTAAGTGGACTAAACTCACCAGTCAAAAGACACAGAGAAGCAGGTTGTATTAGAAAACAGAATCCAATCTTCTGATGTCTCCAGGAAACACACATAAGTTCTGAAGAGAAACATAAATTGAAAGTTAAGTGTTGGAAAACAATTCTACAAGGTTATGCCCTCCCTCCCACAAAGAAGGCAGGGACAGCCATACTTATATCAGATAAAATAGACCTCAAGCTAAAAAAGGTGACAAGAGACACAGACAGGCACTATATAATGATCAGGGAAGATATATGGACACTATATAATGATCAAGGGAAGACATATGAAACTAGAATCCCAGCAGTGGGTGCTGTCCCAGCAGTGGGAGCAAGAAGTAGCAGTGGCAATCTCTCACTCTGATGCTCCACTACAGGCAAGCTCCAGCAGTGGCTCCTCAGAGCCTAGCAACCTCCCTTTTATATGTGGTACCAGGATTGTAGAATGGACCAATCAGGAATGAGCTATGAGTTGATTAGTGTTAAATGGCCCAATAAGCTATAGATTTGAAAAACAGTCCAATCAGACTTGTAGGTAGGGCACCCTGGAAGTGGATATAAGCCAGGGCTGGAGAAACTGAGGAGACATCATCTCAGCCATCAAAGAAAGAAAAGGAAAACTCCTTTCCTTGCCTCTAAAGAAAGAAGCATCCAGCAGCTGACCTCTGAGGAAGGCAAAGTCAAAGAGCTTTGTCAAAGACTGTGTTCTGGTCCTGTCTCTGAGATAGCTTGAAGGCAGCACCAAAGGTTCCAGGCATGGTGTCTCAAGAGCTGTTTGTTGTTGATGTAGTCCAACAACTCACAAAGAGCTGTTACCATTTGGTGTCTGTGACACCACCTCTGGGTGATCAGACCATCACTACTGGCCGGTGTGGTCCAGTTCTGTTGACAGGTGACCGGCACTCTGCTTACATCTCTACTTCTGGTGGACACTCTCTGGGGTGAAACAGCTGGCCACTTGTGGCTACAGTAAGCTCTTTGTTTTTTCCTGTTTGTAAAATAAGTCCCATCATTGTTGTTCCTGGAACCTAAGGTATCTTGCAATTATGTGCACCAGTGGGAACTCACAGACAGTGATCTGTCTTCTATTGGACACTGTCATTTAATCAGCTATAGCCCCCTATTGTATAGGTAGGGTATCGCCCCTATTACTGAGATTTGATCTTTTTTGCTGTACAGAGCATGAGTTTATCTTTTTTGATTGCTGAGTAGTATTCCATTCATGTTTTGCTCCAGTTATCTGTTTCAGGGCATTTAGGTTGTTTCCATATCTTAGCTATTGTAAATAGTGGTGCAACAAACATAGAGGTGCAGGTTTCCCTTCAAATTAATGCTTTTGTGTTCTTTGGGTAGATTCCTAGGAGTGGTATTGCTGGATCATATGATAGCTCCATTTTTAGCAATTTGATGGTCCTCCACATAGTTTGCCATAGTGGTTAGACCAGTTTGCATTCCCGCCAGCTCTGTAAGAGGTTTCCTTTTTCTCCACGTCCTCATCAGCATTTGTTGTTGCCAGTTTTTTTTATATGGCCATTCTCATATTAAAAAATGGAGTAAGGTGGTATCTCACTGTGGTTTTGATTTGCATTTCCCTGATTATAAGTGAGGTTGAGGAGATTTTCCCCTTTAGATTAAGTGGTTTTTTTAGTTCTTTTATCCATTTTTGACAGGATTGTTTGCTTTTTTGTTTTTGTTGTTAAGTTGTGCAATCTCTTTGGAGATCTTTGATATCAATACCTTATCAGTTGTATGGGGTGCAAATATTTTCTTCCAATCAGTGGGGTATCTTTTCATTTGGGTTTTTGTCTGTTTTGCTGTACAGAAACTTTTTAGCATGATGTAGTCCTGCTATTTATCTTTTCCTTCATTTTCTTTGCTTCCGGAGAGGAGGTGTCCTCAAAGATGTTTCTGAGGTATATGTCCTGGAGTGTTTTGCCTATATATATACATATATATGTGTATGTATATGTATGTATATATATAATGTACATATGTTTATATGCATGCATATATACATATATATGTACGTTTATATGTATGTGTGTGTATATAAACATATGTACTATATATACACACATACATATTATGGTTTCAGGTTTGTTTTTTTTTTTAAGATTTATTTATTTATTTATTTATACAGGCACTGGGTAGTCAAAAGCGCCGGAGGGTGAGAGAATTCACCAGAGCCAGAGCAGGGAGCAGAACAGGCAGACTGATGAAATACACTGCTGAGGGGAACAGCAGGCGAGACAGGAGAGGTCTACCTGCCATGTGGGACCCTCGTGGGCTGGCCAGGATCGAACAGGCGCTGCAGAGGCCATGGATAGCTTCACATCGGTGTGCTCAACCGCCTGCCCCACCAGGGGAGGCCCTTTTTATCCTTTTTGAGATGGTTTTTGTATTTGGTGTGAGATAATAGTCTAGTTTCATTCTTTTGCATGTAGACGGCCACGCTCCCAGAACCATTTATTGAAAACACTGTCCTTATCCAGTGCATATTCTTTATTCCTTTGTCATAGATTACTTGACCATATATATATCCAGCTTTATTTCTGGATTTTCAATTTGATATCATTGGTCTGTGTGTCTACTTTTGTTCCAGTACCATGAATTTTAATTATTATGGCTTTATAGTATTGTTTGAAATGTGGGAGTGTAATGTCTCCATTGTCTGTCATTTCAGTCAGAAGAGCTTTGACTATTGGAGTTTTTTGTGATTCCATATGATTTTCAGCAATACTTGTTCCATTTATTTGAAGAATGCCATTTAGATTTTTATTGGAATTGCATTGAATCTGTAAACTGCTTTTGGTAAGATTGTCATTTTGATAATGTTAATTCATTAACAGGGAATGTCTTTCCATTTCTTTGTGTCGTCTTCTATTTCTTATAACAGTGTTTTATAATTTTCTTTGTATAAATCTTTCACTTCCTTTGTTAGATTTATTCCCAGCTATTTATATTTTTGGTACAATTGTAAATAACATCATTCTTTTTTTTTTTTTTTTAAACTTTTTTTTTTTTTAATAGAGGCATTTTTTTTTTTATTTGTTTGTTTGTTTTTGTTTATACATGCACTGGGTACAGTCAGAAGCGCGGAGGGTGAGAGAATTCACCAGAGCCAGAGCGGGGAGCAGAACAGGCAGAAAGACCGAAATACACTGCTGAGGGGAGCAGCGGGCGGCAGGAGAGGTCTGCGCGCCATGTGGGACCCTCCTCCGGTGGCCGGGGGGCAACCGGGGATCGAACCGGCGCCAGAGGCCGCGGGCAGCTTCGCAACCCAGCGCTCAACCGCTGCACCACGGGGGAGGCCCAATAACATCATTCTTAATAGTGAAAAAAATGAAAGCATTCCCTTTAAGAGGCAGAAAAAGACAGTCTCATCTCTGCCTTTCATTGTAACACTGAAGTACTAGTAAGAGCAATTAGACAAGAGAAAGACATAAAATGAATCCAAATTGGGAAAGAAGAAGTAAAACTATCATTATTTGCAGGTGATATGATAATATATAGACAGAATCCTTAAAATCCATGGAAAAACTAATTAAAACAAAGCAGTTTAGTAAAGTAGCAGATTATAAAATCAATACACAAAAATCAGTAACCTTCCTATATGTGAACAATCAGTCTGAAGAAAACAATGCAATTTACAATTGTATCCCCCAAAATTAAGTACTTTAGAAAAAACTAACAAAGGAGCAAAATTTTCCTATACAAGGAAAATTGCAAAACACTATCAAAGAAATAGAAGAAACACAAAGATATGGAAAATCATACCCTGCTCATTGATTGGAAGAATCAATAGTATTAAAATGGCCATCCTACCAAAATCAGTTTACAGATTCAAAGCAATTTCAATAAAAATCTCAGTGGCATTCTTCAAAGAAATGGAACAAATATTGTTGAACATCATATGAAATCACAAAAAAACCCCTAAACTACACAAAAACCAACTCAGAATGGATACAAGACTTGAATTTAAGACAAGAAACCATTAAAAATATAGAAGAAAACATAGGCAAAACACTGTAGGACATACACCTCAGAACCAGCTCCAGAAGCAAGGAGAACAAGGACATTATAAACAGCTAAGACTACAGCAAACTAAAAAGCTCTGTACAGCAAAAAAGATCAAATCTCAGTAATAGGAGCCTCCCTGGTGGCAGGTGGTTGAGCACAGTGCTGTGAAGCTGTCCACAGCCTCTGCAGTGCCGGTTCAATCCCAGCCAGCTGGTGAGGGTCCCACATGGCGTGGCAAACCTCTCCTGTCTCTCCCGCTGCTCCCCTCAGCAGTGTATTTCATCAGTCTTCCTGTTCTGTTTCCCGCTCTGTCTCTGGTGAATCCTCTCACCCTCCTGCGCATCTGGCCTGTACCCCGGCTCTTGTATAAATAAAATAAATCTTAAAAAAAAAAATCTCAGTAATAGAAATCAAGAGACAGTCTACTGAACGGGAGAAAATATTTCCACATCATACAACTGATAAGGGACTAATATCAGAGATTTACAAGAGCTTACACAACTCAACAAAAACAAAGCAAGCGACCTATAGTCTAAAAATGGGCAGAAGAGCTAAAAAGACACTTTTCCAAAGAAGTGCAAATAGCCAACAAGCATATGAAAAAATGTTCCAAATCACTAGTTATCAGGGAAATAAAATCAAAACCAAAATGAGATACCAGTTCACTCTGGTGAGAATGGTACATATTACAAAAACCTACAACAACAGTTGCTGGCGAGGATGTGGAGCAAAAGGAAACCTCTTACATTGCTGGTGGGAATGCCAACTTGTCCAACCACTATGGAAAGCTCTGTGGAAGACCCTCATAATACTCAAAATGGTTCTACCTTATCATCTAGTTATTCCACCCCTAGGAATCTACCCAAAGAACATAAAAACACTAATTCAAAAGGAAACCTGCACTCCTATATTTATTGCACCATTATTTACAATAGCTAAGATATGGAAACAAACTTAATGCCCCAAAACAGATGACGGGATGAAAACAGATGAATGGAATACTACTTAGCAATCAAAAAAGTTATACTCATGCCATCTGCAGCAACATGAAGGAGCTG